ATTCAGCCAAGGGGTGGTCACGAGGGGATGACACAGATCAAGGCTGTGATTCGTGAGAAACTGAAGGCCGGCCTCCTTGTGAAATTAATCATGAAAAAGCCGGGTGATCTACATTCGTACAAATGGAAAATCATTTATAATATCCCTAGACGTCCAAATACTTTTTTCGTCACCACCCAAGTAAAGGAAGGATCACCTAAAGACCGTTTTTGTTATAAATATTGGACTCCCAGGCTCAGTTTTCCCAGCGACTTGCAAGGCCGTGGGGATGTTAACGAAGGATGGAAAGAAAAGGCCTACAAGGGGCCGGAATGCTTCGAAGGAGGAGCGCATGAATTTTGCAAGTGGGGTTTTACATGTGAGCTAATCAATTCCCCATGGGTAGTCCAATGGGTTCATTGTTGAGTTATATGTGCTGCAGCTTATAATTATTACAGATCCAATATTTGTGATTTTGATCTAGACCATCTCCCTCCCAGGACCTGGACAGCAAGGAGAAGGAGGGAGATACAGCTCCAGAAGACAGAGAGGACATGAAAGATGAAGACACGCAGAAGGACGGCAGTAGTGAAAGTTCTGAAGAAGAAAATGAAGAAGAAGGAGAGGACATGGAGGAAGAAAAGGAAGAAGAAGGAGAGGACATGGAGGAAGAAAAAGAAGAAGCAAAAAATACAGCAGAAACACCTTCGGAACGCCAGCTTTCCGCTATCCACCCAGATGAATCTGACACACTTCCCATGTTCTTCGACGACAGCCAAATGGTTTTTGCCGAATCGCAGTGTATGGATCTTGACATGGAAGATGTCACGCAGCACTATGAGGTCCGTGACTGTGAAGAGGACAACAAGCATCCGCAGGGCAAAGCAAAGGAAGCCCAGTCGAAAGGTGACACCAAGGGTGAAGATTCTGAGATGGACCATGGAAAGAGACCTCCCAAGGATGACGGCGCCCACAATGAGACGAAGAAGAAGGATGAACAAGATACAAAGGAGGAGGTGGAAGCCAAGGCTAAAGGTTCTGAGAAGGACATGATAAAGACACCACCACCAGAAGAAGATGAGGTTGCCTGGAGCAAGAAAGATAAGTCTGAGGAAAAGCAAGCAAAGGAGAAGGAGGTGAAAAGGGCAGCTGCTGAGGCCAAGGCCAAAGAGCTTGAGAAGGACGAAAGAAAGACACCAGCGAAAGAAGTGGAGGATGCCTCTAATGACAAGAAGGACAAGGAGATGGAGATGAAAGAAAAAGCCACAGCTGAAGAGTCTGAGAAGAAGAAACATAAAGAAAAGAAGCTGGTGCAGGTGAAAAGAGAAGCCGAGGCTGAAGTGAAGGAAAAGGAAGCGCCAAAAGAAGATGAGGCTGCCTCGAATGAGAAGAAGAAGAAGAAAGAACAGAAGGCAAAGGAGGTGGAGGTGAAAAGAGAAGCCAAGGCTGAAGATTCTGCGAAGGAAGAGGGTCGACAGACACCACCAAAA